TATTTGTGGGCATTTCATTGTTCCCTTCTCTTCTATCGGCGCTGCTCTTCTCCATAGGCGCAAAGATCTATAACCAGCCTAGATTTTCACCCTCTTCTACTGCTTGATGACCATCAACCCCACCCTGTAGCACTTACTCATCTGAAGAATGAAGAACAAAATTTACTGCTCACCCCACACCCTCACCTCTCTCAACAAAGAATAGTGGAGAATGGTTAACAGATTATTGCAGCGTCCTCTTCCGTGATTGCTTGTCTCCCGCCGGGATGTCGCCTCTGCCCAGTTGGACCTCGTACCATAGTGCAGTGTTGTGCAGCCACTCGTCTCCCGTCCCAGGTCGGGTGATGGGGTTGAGCCAGGCAGGAGGATATTCAGGTTTTGGTTTTAACCTTCGTGCGCTTCCAGCTGGGCTCGGGCTTCATTCACCCTTTAGAAAGATCACCACCACCTACTCTAATCATGTAGACTTACTGCAGCCTGGTTTCTCTGTTACAATAAAGTTACTGCGACCCAACCACTGTCGACTATGTTATATTTTCTCTTTAATGGGAGGAAAGGGCAGGAGTGGGTGTATATCCCAGAACTCTGAAGTCATGTCCAGCTGACCATGAGCCAATGGGTGTGTGAGCTGTTCTGAATGTAAACTAAAGCCACATCCTTGTCTTGCTCTCACTCAGCTTGTCTAGTCCAAAGATGTTGGAAATGTAGATATGATCCATTGGACCGTGGGGGACAAGTGGAGTACCTCAAAGGATCTGTGGGTGTCAGCAGGGAGCGGAGGAGATGGAGGGGAGGTGGCAGCTTCAGATAGCTCTGGGAGTGAGGTAGGTAATCTAAACAATGAAGGTAAAGTTAAAAGTGATGCCACCTGGATGTAAGATGACCACTGGGGACAGACCCTCATCCCCAGTAATGAGAAATAGGGAAGTGAGAGGTGCTGTGAGAATGAAAGTCCAGGATGGCACGTCTTCCATTTTTCAAATAACAAATCCTGTTTTATATATGTTTTTATTGAATTCAGAGAGAAAGGAGGGGAGAGGGAGGGAAACATCCATGTGAAAGAGAAACATCGATCAGCTGTCTTCCATATGGAGACCGAAACCCCAACCTGGGTATGTGCCGTGACTAGGAACTGAACTGGTGACCTTTTGGTGCAGGGAATTGAACCTGAAACATGGACCCCAACCGGGAATTGAACCATGACCTCCTGGTTCATAGGTCAACACTCAACCATTGAGCCATACCAGCTGGACCACAATCCTACTTTTCTGGAACATCTATTGATGCTTAAAAGTTGGCAACTGATTCAACTTTTTAAAAATATTTTTTTAATGATTTCAGAGAGGAAAGGAGAGGGAGAAAGAAATAGAAACATCAATGGTGAGATAGATTGGCTGCCTCCTGCACTCCCCCATACTGGAGCTCGAGCCTGCAACCCGGGCATGTTCCCCAACTGGGAATTGAACCGTGGCCTCCTAGTTCATAGGTCAACAACCACTGAGCTACGCTGGCCTGGCCTGATTCAATTTTTTTAATGATTTACAGGCAAGATGCAAACAATAGGTCACCAGTTTGCAACCTCTACCATAAAGTCATCTACTCTTTAGCAGACATGGAGCAATGGCGCCTGCTTGGCATCAAGGTTACGCTGTCCCCTTCTGCTTAGTGCTAGGAGCCATTCAAGGCGGGCCAGGCCGGCAATGGAGCAGAGGTCAGGCCCCGAGGAGAGGGCAGCGGGCTTAGCTTGCTCGTTCCCTCTTGTTGCTCACTCCCTGGGGGGCATGGTTCACAGCAGGCTTGTTCCTGACCCCAGCTCTTCTGTGTCCCTGTTGGGAACGGATACACCAAGGTGGTAAATGGATAAGTAAGTGAGCTTCCTGGAATGGACTTTGACTGAATGTCTGGGAAAGTATCTTAAAACAGCATGTTATTCGGCTGCGCCGTTCAGGGACTGACTGCCCAGGTTAGGAGAAGCAGCTTTAAGTCTCCCTGATGGAACCACATGGTTGAAAGCTGGCCACCAAGACAGCAGGAAAGGGAACCTGACCACCCGCTGACCTCGTTATTTTTAACCACAGGTATTGCCAGCTCACCCTGGACTAAGTCCCTTTCCTCACCAAACACAGTCACGTGGGGTGTGTTTTTCTCAGCAGTTCAGACTGTTTGCCTTCAACCCTATCCTAGTTTTCTAGTCTGGGTTGAATATGCTCATGTTCATCCACTCAATGAAGGAGGTAATTTGCTCAGAATAGCCTCTCTTTTTTGTTTGTTTGTTTTCTTTTTTAAATACATATTTATTGATTTCAGAGAGGAAGGGAGAGGGAGAGAGATGGAAACATCAATGATGAGAGAGAATCATTGATCGGCTGCCTCCTGCATGCCCCCCACTGGGGACTGAGCCCACAACCTGGGCATATGCCCTGACCAGGAATTGAACCGTGACCTCCTGGTTCATAGGTTGATGCTCAACCACTGAGCCACGCTGAGCAGGCATGCCTCTGTTTATTATAGTTCAAAGTAGAATAGTTTCCAAATCTGGATTTTAAAAAAATATTGTTTCCCTAGCCTTATCTCTGGACATTCTGACTTTATGTCTGAGATAAGGTTTGGGAGTCATTTTGTTCTTTTAATAATAAAAAGAGAAAATTTTCTAGGAGGTTCAGAAACACCTGATCGGTTGGGTCCATTGGGTTACTATTGGACTAAACTGCCTCAGGCTTCCATCTACATGATCAAAGCCCAGCTCACTCAACCAGCTTGAGAATTTTTTTAACCTTTTTCCTTATGGGCTGTGGAAGTTCTTTTCATAGAAATTATTGGTTTGCATCTAATAAATAGAAGATAATTTTTTTAATTTTTTAAATGATAATCTTATAAAACTCGAGAAGCCCTGGCCCGGTAGCTCATTTAGTTAGAGTTGTCCAGATATGCCAAGGTTGTGGGTTCAATCCCCAGTCAGGGCACATGTGTATGTACAACAGTCAAACAACATATAAATAAGTGGAACAAGTCTCTCTCTAAAATCAATGTTTTTAATCTTATAATTTTTTAATTGATTTCAGAGGAAGGAGGGAAGGGAGAGAGAGAGAAAAAAATATCAACATAAGAGAAAACATCAATTGATTGCTCCCTGCACGTGCCCCAACCAGGGATGGAACCCACAAGCTGGGTATGTGCCCTGACGGGGAATTGAACCCACCAGCTTTTGGTGTACATCACACCAGCCAGAGAAATTTTTTAAATCTTGAGAATTTGTATCCAGAATATATAAAGAACACACTTCAAGAATAACAAGAAAAATAACCCAACTAATAACTGGGAAAAGTATCTGAATAGACATTTCTCCAAAGACACACTGATGGCCAAAAAGCACATGAAAAGATGCTATAATCATTAGTCATCCGGAAAATGCAAATAAAAACCATAATGGGAATCACTTCACACCCACTAGGATGACTGTAATGAAAAGGACAGAATATAATAAGGATCATCAAGATGTGAAGAAATTGGACCCTCACACAATATTGATAGGAATGTAAAATGGTGGAGCTGCTTTGGAAAACAGTCCAGCAATTCTCAAAAAGTTAAACATACGCTTACTGTCTGACCCGGCAATTCCACTCTATACACTTACCCAAGACAAAAGAAAGCACACATCCACACAAACACTTGTCCATGAGTGTTTATAGCGGCATTATTCACAATAGCCCAAAAGTGGAAACATATCTAATGTCCAATCAACTGATGGATAAATAAAATGTGGTATAGCCATAGCATAGAATATTATCCTATACTAGAAGCCTGGTGCACAAAATTCATGAACTGGGGAGGGGGGGGTCCCTAAACCCGACCTGCGCCCTCTCGCAGTCCGGAAGCCCTCAGGGGATGTCCGACTGACAGCTTAGGCTCACTCCCCACAATATGTAAATCGACTGAACGGGGGAATGACTGCTTGCTATGATGCACACTGACCACCAGGGGGCAGACACTCAACACATGAGCTGCCCCTTGGTGGTCAGTGAGCTCCCACAGGGGGAGCGCTGCTCAGCCAGATGCTGGGCTCACGGCTGGCAAGCACAGTGGTGGTGGCGGGAGCCTCTCCTGCCTCAGTGGCAGTGCTAAGGACCCCTCAGGGGATGTCTGCCTGATGGCTTAGGCAGGGAGCAGGCCTAAGCCATCAGTCAGACATCCTCCGAGGGGTCCCGGACGGCAAGAGGGCGCAGGCTGGACTGAGGGATCCCCCCCTTCAGTGCACGAATGTCATGCACCAGGCCTCTAGTTTAGTAATAAAACGGAATGCAGTACCAATATGCTCCAACATGGATGAAACTTGATAACAGCTCATCCAAAACACCAAGTAGACGGTTAGTGGTGCCAGGGGCTTGGGGGAGAGGAAATGGGGGGTGGGGGGTGTTTGACTACTTATGGTTACAGGGTGTGTTGGTGGGGGGAGTGATAACAATGCTGAAATTAGATAATGGTTAGGGTTGCAAAACTATGAATATACTAAAAACCACTGTATTGGACTTTTTTTTCAATTTCTTTTATTTTCTAATATATTTTTTATTTATTTCGGAGAGGAATGGAGAGGAAGAGAGAAAAATCAATGATGAGAGAGAAACATTGATTGGCTGCCACCTACACGTCCACACGGGGAATCCAGCCCACAACCCCTGCAAGTGCCTCGAACCAGAACTGAGCCATGACCTCCTGATTCATAGGTCAATGCACAACCATTGAGCCACGCCTGCCAGGTGTATTGGACATTTTTAAAGGATCGATTTTAGGATAAAGTGCATAAAGCTCAAAAATAAAAAACGATTGCTTTTAAAACCTGCAAACAGCTCAGACAGCCTTCAACAAGTGACCAGTTAAGCAAACCAGAACAGTACACACATACCGTGGAGACTACCTGCGGAAACTACAATTCCCAGAGTGCCCCGCGCTCCGTAGCCCGACTGTCACGTGACCTCTGTTCACGTGTCTCCCCAGCCGGCTGGGACATAAGGTACCGTGGGTAGGTGGCTGAAAGTAGAAAAGCTGGAGGGTGGGAGCTTTAGGTCCCCAGGTACCCAAACCCCCGATCACAGCAGAGCCCTGCCCACTCCCCGCAGGGCGATCGGAAGCCCGGCGTCCTTGGTCCCACGGCCGCCCTCGGTTGGCCGGTTCCTGCCCAGTCTCCACCCAGTCCTAGGCCCGGATCAAATCTCGGTGCCTCCGCCCAGTTTACCCCACAGCAGCCCACTCGCCTCACTGCATGCCTGGGGCCATCCCCTCCGCGCGGGGTGCGCCCTGGTCCACCTCCCAGTGAGCCCACCTCTCCTATTTCGGGGATCCAGCCGCGGGCTGGAGTGGGGTCCCGCTCCGCTTGGGAACCGAGGGGCCTCCTGCAGTGATGCCAGCTCCCCGAGGGCGCCAGGCTCCTAGTTCTGGTTCTGCCGGCTGCCCGCTGTGACTTTAGCCCAGCGTCTTCCCTCCGTGCGCCTGTTTACCTGACTGACCTGGTTGGTGCTCCTTTCTACGACTTAGAGTCGGAGCGGCTCAGCTCGCCTCAATTTGCTGACCAGCACAAAACAGCTCAAACTCATCACTCTGCTGACGGCGGGCTTTTAGCAAAGAGAAAAGAAGAAATTGGGGCCAGAGAGAGAGAAGAGAGGAGAATCAGATCCCAGGCGTTTGGGGAGAAGGAGCTGTAAGGAGCAGCACCCCCTCCACCGTAGCCCTTATCAGGTGGGAACAGCAGGTAAGCCGGGGAGGATGGAGCTGAGTAACTGGGGGGAGGGACGGCTGAGCGATCTTACACCCCTGTTCTGAGACGTGAGCAGGGCTGAGAGGGAGGTCACAGCTCTGGCAGCACTAGCTTTGCGGGGCTCTGTCTGGAGCTCTGCTGGGAGCCTGGGGGCCTGGGAGCCCAAGACTCTCCCTCTGCTACTCACTGCTCTGATTTTTTGGCCGAGTGTCTGGATGGGTGTCCCCTGGCTGATCTTTCTGGAGTTGGAGCCAGCAGAGGGATACTTCCTCTGGGGCTGGTGTCTTGGTTGCATGCATGGTGACTGATGTCTAAGAGCATCATCACCTTCCTTTCTCCCTCTTGTGAGTGTACCATTCCCGACTTTGTTGGACCAGGACCAGGAGGAGCAATGGGAACCATCTGACTTCCACCCAGGGGGCCTCCTTTGCCATTCGAACCCCTGGCATGTTGAGGGCATCAGAGGGGATGGCTCTAGGGTGGGCAGTAGTTAGGTGAGTCATGTGGGAGATGAGTGAGAGTTGGCCTGACTTTTGAAGGACTTCAGAAGCTATGGAGAATCCAGACTCGGCTGGAGGGCCGTGTGCTGGTTCTGAGTGAGGGCTGCTCTTGGAACCCCGCGGTGTGGAAACAGGCTGGGAAGGCAGACAGATCGGTATCCAAACCCTACTCTGCAACTTGCTAACATGTGACCCTGGATCACTGATTTGATCTCTCCAAGCCCCATGACCCCTGTCGTAAGGATGGAATGAGATATGTCCATGACACTCTTGCCCATACATGGCCTCTTTCTAATGCCGACATGTTACTACCCCTCTCTCTTATGTTTGTCTTATGTACCCCATGCGTCTGTAAGCCTGAAGCAAGCAGGATTTGCCTCTGACCTATTTCTGTCTCTGCCACCCACACTATTGCCCCCAGTGCAGTATTCTGCACACAGGTGCACCTGGGCTCCAGCCCCAGCCATCTGATCTTGGGGAAGTCGTTTTACCTTTCTGTGCCCACCTTGGCATAACAGTAGTACCTGCCTTTCCTGTCTAGGCTGAGAAGAGCCAGAGCCCACAGGCCTCCTGGGAGAACAGCTCTGAACAGGGGATGTGGTGGTGAGGCAGAATCTGCAGACCCGGCCGGAAGGGGGCTGTCAGGGCCATGGCCCAGGTCAGCATCAACAGTGACCTTGGCGAGTGGGGCTTCAGCACGGATGCTGGGGAGCGGGCCCGTCTGCTGCAGAGTCCCTGTGTGGACTCGGACCCGAAGAGTGAGGGGGAGGCCTCTCCTGAAAGTCTGAGCAGAGGCACCACGTCCTCGTTTGGGGCCATCTTCATTGTAGTCAACGCCTGCCTGGGGGCGGGACTGCTCAACTTCCCAGCAGCCTTCAGCACCGCCGGGGGCGTGGCCGCGGGCGTCACCCTGCAGATGGTGAGTGTGCGGGACTAGAGGGCAGGAATGCAGTTTAGCTGGGGAGTCTGGCCTCTTTGCCTCAAAAGGGAGGCTCTGGATGAGGGGTGATCAGAGCTACCACTGTCCCCACCCTCACGCAGGGCAGATGTTACCCATCTATCCCAGCATTCTTTCCTCTGAGCCCAGATGAGGCTTCAAAAGCCTTGCGAGCAATCAGGGAAATTTGACATCAATTGCATACTTAACAGTCTTGTGGTTATGTTTAAAAAAGAGGCCCTTATCTTTTAGAACTACATGAAATAGTACTGATGAAGTGATATGAGAACTTGTGTTTTCTTCAAAATAATACAGAGCCGGCCCGTGTGGCTCAGTGATTGAGCATCGACCTATGAATCAAGAGGTCACTGAATTGATTCCCGGTCAGGGCATGTGACCAGATGGCAGGCTTGACCCCAGTAGGGGGCTTCTTATCGATGTTTCTATCTCTCTATTCCTCTCCCTTTCTCTCTTTATTTTTTTTTTCCGTCCCCACCGCCCGGGCCACCCCGGCCTGCGTGGTGTTCCCCGTCCCTCCCTTTCTCTCTCTTTAAAATAAATAAATAAATATTTTTACAAAAGAGAGAGAACATTTTTTAAAAAAATAATAATCCAGAGTGGGTGAAAGAATAGATGAAACAGGATTGGGCATGAATTGATCATTTTTGAAGCTGAGTGATAAGGACATGGGGGTCCATTATACCAGTCTTTCTACTTTTGTGTGCATTTGAAATTTTCCACAAAGCTCCTTTTGTTTCTAAAGAAAATCTCAAGTCTCCAGTAATCTATTAAAATTGCCCTGCAATGCCCTGACCGGTTTGGCTCAGTGGATAGAGCGTCGGCCTGCGGAGTGAAGGGTCCCAGGTTCGATTCCGGTCAAGGGCATGTACCTTGGTTGCGGGCACATCCCCAGTAGGGGGTGTGCAGGAGGCAGCTGATAGATGTTTCTCTCCCATCGATGTTTCTAACTCTCTGTCCCTCTCCCTTCTTCTCTGTAAAAAATCAATAAAATATATTTTTAAAAATTGCCCTGCAAGATGAGGTCTCTATGCCAAACCAGCTTTGAGCACTGGCCCCGTAAATACTGAGCAAAACCAGGCTGTCCTTTGCTGCCAGGCCTTTTCCACACCCTCCTGCTCTGCCCCTGCCCACAGGGCATGCTGGTTTTCATCATCAGCGGCCTCGTCATCCTCGCCTACTGCTCCCAGGCCAGCAACGAGCGGACCTATCAGGAGGTGGTGTGGGCTGTGTGTGGCAAGCTGACGGGCGTGCTGTGCGAGGTGTCCATTGCCATCTACACCTTCGGCACCTGCATCGCCTTCCTCATCATCATTGGGGACCAGCAGGACAAAAGTGAGGCTCCCTCTGTAGCCACCTCATCCCTCCCCCTTGACCCTGGGAGTCCTAGGGGTGGAGGGAAAGGGCATGGAACACCTTCCCCTGGGAATCCTCCTCCCGGCTGCTGGGCCCATTAGACAGATGGAAGCCCCGAGGCCCAGCGGAGCAGGAGGGCCGCACCTTGCAGTGGCCTGGCCTGACGTTCCCTCCTTCCTCCCTGTGCAGTTATAGCTGTGTTGGCAAAGGAGCCTGAGGGGGCCGGTGGCAGCCCCTGGTACACGGACCGCAAGTTTACCATCAGCCTCACCGCCTTCCTCTTCATCCTGCCCCTCTCCATCCCCAGGGAGATCGGCTTCCAGAAGTATGCCAGGTTCGGAGGCCCCACCCCAACCTGGGCCAGACAGAACCCTGGAGACCCAAGGGCTGCCAGGGAGCGCCTGTCCTCCATGCCACCTCCATGCCCTCCTGGGGCGGCAAGACCGGGCAAGGCTGGCCGGCCAGGGCTTGCACGGGTTCCAGCAGAAGACTTTCCTTCCTGTCAGCAGCAAAGGGAGACAGTGGCCCTGAGCATCAGTGGGATATTCAGTGTCCTTGTCAAAGGGACAGGTGGCAACCAGAGGGCAAAGGCAGCCTCCGGGCCTGGACCTTAGCTTTCCCGGAGAGAATGGGACTTTTGATCAGTTGGGATTGCCACCCGGGCAGCATCTTCCACGTAGCTTGTTATGAAGGGAGGAGACTGGCTGCCTGACTCAGGGTCTGAAAAGCTGTTTCCTGCGATCCGTAATCGGCAGGGTCGCACTCAGCTGTCTCCAAGGTCCCCTGTCATGTCGACATTCCAGTATTTGTACCTCCAACCCTTTTACCTCCGGTATCTCCTAGTTCTCAAGGGCCCTCCTTGCAGCCCTCGCCACGTGTGGGCTGCTCTGATTGAAGCCCAGCCCTCCGAGCGCTGGAGCTGAGCCAGTGCATTTCCTGATGGTCAGAAATGCCAGTCTGGTCCCCTGTGGGGTCCAGCTCCCTCCTGGCTGTGGCCAGTTTCTCCAAAACTTCTTTCTCATGCATTTCTGGAGTCTTTGCTGGAAATAGCCCCCCAAGTCGTTCAGTAGACACTTGTGGTCACTAGAACGAAGGGTAGATGCCCCTGGGGTGGGAGCAGAGAAAGGGCGGCTGGGGCTGGGGAGGAAGGAGTTCCGTCCATGCTTCCCGCAGCTTCCTGAGCGTCGTGGGCACCTGGTACGTCACTGCCATCGTTATCATCAAGTACATCTGGCCGGATAAGGAGATGACCCCGGGGGACATCCTGACCAGGTGGGTGCGGACCCCCAAGAGACACATGGGGTAGGATCGGCTGCTTGGGCCCCAGAAGGTGCCGAGTCAGACATCGAAAGGCCACACAGGTGCTCGTCTTAAGGCTCAGTTGGCCTTGGCGCATCGGTCATTGTAGGAACAAGCGGTCCTCATCTCTCTCCGCTGAAGGGAAGTGAGAACCAGAGACGGGAGAGAGTTTGCACTAACACCCAACCACTGAGCCAACGGCTGTGGAGCCTGCCAGGGTGGAGCTACACATTTTTCCAAATTGTGCTTCTCTGTAATTTCTGTATCTTCTACATGAGGATGGATCTATTAGGTCATTTAAAAAAAAAAAAGTTTCATTTTTTTGAAAGGAACAAACCAAAAAAAGTAACAGCCCCGGTGTAGGAGCCAGAAATTCTGGATTTCGGTCCCAGGAGGGCCTTGCAGGGCCTCAGTTTACTGACCTGTGAAATGGAGATGTGTCCTCTCCCCGTTCCCAGACTTCTGTGGGTGGAGTGTATAGAAGGCTCACTGGTGGAGGCCATGGTTGGCTGGAGGAAGAGTAAGGGCATGACGGGAGGAGGGGGAGTTGGTGGCTGTGTGGGATCCCCAGGCAGCACGTTCTTGTGTTGATCCACAGGCCAGCTTCCTGGATGGCCGTGTTCAATGCCATGCCCACCATCTGCTTTGGATTTCAGGTGCCAGTTGCCAGGTCCCTGCGGCCCCCTTAGCTCACTCCCCACCCTGGGATGGAGCCCACATCACGGGCAGGATGGGGGATCCTGGGAGGAAGGATGGAGAGGGGACCCCAGGACTCGCCCCTTGTCCCTGTGGTCTTTGTCTCCAAGGTACCGCCCTCTGGAAATGGGGGGGTGAGGTCACTTCCCCAGGATAACTGTGACCTTCGCCCTGACAGTGCCACGTGAGCAGCGTGCCCATCTTCAACAGCATGCGGCAGCCCGAGGTGAAGACCTGGGGCGGGGTGGTGACGGCCGCCATGGTCATAGCCCTCGCCGTGTACATGGGCACAGGTGAGCACTCCCGCCTTCCCTCCGTTCCTCAGCGCTCCAGCCCAGCTTTCCCGGGGGCGGCCTTGCACCCTTAGCATGTCAGACCCTTCTGTAGGCGTTGGCTTGAACTTGGGCTGCCCTGGGCCTCCCCCGGCCCAAATGAGAGGAACGGGTTCATCCATTCATTCAGCAGCTCTGCCTGGTAAGTGCCAGGAGCTATTCTCAGATGGGGGATGCCGTGGAGATAGGTAGGCCTGGCCCCGCCCTCGTGGAATGGACGGTCTAGTACAGTGGTTCTCAACCTTCCTGATGCCGCGACCCTTTAATACAGTTCCTCATGTTGTGGTGACCCCCCAACCATAAAATTATTTTCGTTGCTACTTCAGAACTGTAATTTTGCTACTGTTATGAATCGTCATGTAAATATCTGATATGCAGGATGTACTTTCACTGTGACAAATTGAACCTAATTAAAGCATAGTGATTCATCACAAAAACAATATGTAATTATATATGTGTTTTCCGATGGTCTTAGGCGACCCCTGTGAAAGGGTCATTCGACCCCCAAAGGGGTCGCGACCCACAGGTTGAGAACCGCTGGTCAAGTAGGAGAGAGTCTAAGGAGAGAAAAGCAGGAATCCGGGATTTCAGACAGTTGAGGGCCACAGTGAAACAGGGGACATGTGAGTGGGACTGGGAGGGGCGCCTTTGGGGGATGGTTCACAGAAGACTTCTCTCTGAGGGGGTGCATTTGGGGAGGCCCACATGATGGGACGGAGTCAGAGTTAGAAGGGGCAGAGGAAGAGCATTCCAGGCAGAGGAACCAGAAACTGCCGAGTCCTTGAGCAGGGACCGATGAAAGGTGTGTGTGGCTGGGGTGGAGCAAGGTGGGGTGGGCGACAGGGCCAGGTCCCCTTGGGCCTAGAGGATTGCTGGGAGCCAGAGCGAAAGTGTCGCAGGCAGGTGTGTCGGTGAGAGATGGCTGTGGGTGCTGTGGGGCACGGCTGGGATAGGGAGCAGGGCTGGGAGACCTGGAGGATGGCCCAGTGATTCCTCCACAGGCGGTTCTGGGGCCTCTGCCTCTGAAGACACAGCCAAGAACCAGGCAGGCCCTGTCCTCCTGGGGCTTGTGTTCTGCTTGGAGAAGCAGATCATAAGTTAAAAAAGAAAAGGAGCCCTAACCGGTCTGGCTCAGTGGATAGAGCGACGGCCTGCGGACTGAAGGGGCCCAGGTTCGATTCCGGCCAAGGGCATGTCCCTTGGTTGCGGGCACGTCCCCGGTGGGGCGTGTGCAGGAGGCAGCTGATCGATGTTTCTCGCTCATCGATGTTTCTAACTCTCTATCCCTCTCCCTTCCTCTCTGTAAAAAATCAATAAAATATATTTTTACAAAAAAAGGAAAGGAAAGAAAGAATTCAGAGAGAACGTGGGCTCTGAAGGAAATAGGCTGATGTGAGAGTGCTGGGGGTGGGCGATTGTGGGCAGGCCAGGTGGGGAAGCGTCTCTAGAGAGGGGAGATGGAGCCGAGGCCTGAGTGGTCGGATGAAGAGCTGGCTCTGAGAGGAACGTGCGGGCAGCGTGAGATCAGAGAGGTGGCAGTGGGGGCAGCCGTGAGAAGCCAGGGGAGGAGGCTCTGACCCCAGTCCACCACCCTCAGCCTGCAGAGCTGCTCCAACGCCCTCCCTGTCTGATGTCCCACCTAGCGGTGGGCAGTCCCTCCGCCTTCCCCTGCCAGGGTGGCGCCTTCCCGGCCCTTTGATCCCTGCCCTCAGGCATCTGTGGCTTCCTGACCTTTGGAGCGTCTGTGGACCCCGACGTGCTCCTGTCCTACCCCTCCAACGACGTGGCCGTGGCCGTGGCGCGCGCCTTCATCATCCTGAGCGTGCTCACCTCCTACTCCATCCTGCACTTCTGTGGCCGGTGAGCCCCTGCCCACGGGGGTGCGCCCTCGGGGCCCCTGATAACCCTTTATCCCGGGGTCCTTTGACCTTGTATGGACCCTGTTTGTAGAAGGAGAAACTGAAGCCCACGGGGAAAAGTCAGTGCCTACCCCCAGCCGGGTCTTGCCCACCTCCCCCAGTCCTCTAAGAACCTCTAGTCCAGATCCTTTCCTGAATACCAGCCTTCTGGGTGTTCCAGGCCCTTCCCTTTCAGAATAGAATCGGTTCCCCCGGTGACCACGTCCTGGGCCAGGCAGGGTGCTAAGCCCTGCACGTTCACCCCCATCCAGTCCCCAGGCAGTCCCGAGATCGCTGCCGGGCCCCTTTACAGAGAGGAACAGGCTCGCCCCATCCACCCAGTCAGGGGTCTGGCTCCGGGAGCTGGTGAGGGGACTGTGAGCAGGGGAGCCTCTGAGCCCCTCCCTGTGTGCAGGGTGGGGGGGACTGTGAGCAGGGGAGCCTCTGAGCCCCTCTGTGTGTGCAGGGTGGGGGGACTGTGAGCAGGGGAGCCTCTGAGCCCCTCTGTGTGTGCAGGGTGGGGGGACTGTGAGCAGGGGAGCCTCTGAGCCCCTCTGTGTGTGCAGGGTGGGGGGACTGTGAGCAGGGGAGCCTCTGAGCCCCTCTGTGTGTGCAGGGTGGGGGGACTGTGAGCAGGGGAGCCTCTGAGCCCCTCTGTGTGTGCAGGGTGGGGGGACTGTGAGCAGGGGAGCCTCTGAGCCCCTCTGTGTGTGCAGGGTGGGGGGACTGTGAGCAGGGGAGCCTCTGAGCCCCTCTGTGTGTGCAGGGTGGGGGGACTGTGAGCAGGGGAGCCTCTGAGCCCCTCTGTGTGTGCAGGGTGGGGGGACTGTGAGCAGGGGAGCCTCTGAGCCCCTCTGTGTGTGCAGGGTGGGGGGACTGTGAGCAGGGGAGCCTCTGAGCCCCTCTGTGTGTGCAGGGTGGGGGGACTGTGAGCAGGGGAGCCTCTGAGCCCCTCTGTGTGTGCAGGGTGGGGGGACTGTGAGCAGGGGAGCCTCTGAGCCCCTCTGTGTGTGCAGGGTGGGGGGACTGTGAGCAGGGGAGCCTCTGAGCCCCTCTGTGTGTGCAGGGTGGGGGGACTGTGAGCAGGGGAGCCTCTGAGCCCCTCTGTGTGTGCAGGGTGGGGGGACTGTGAGCAGGGGAGCCTCTGAGCCCCTCTGTGTGTGCAGGGTGGGGGGACTGTGAGCAGGGGAGCCTCTGAGCCCCTCTGTGTGTGCAGGGTGGGGGGACTGTGAGCAGGGGAGCCTCTGAGCCCCTCTGTGTGTGCAGGGTGGGGGGACTGTGAGCAGGGGAGCCTCTGAGCCCCTCTGTGTGTGCAGGGTGGGGGGACTGTGAGCAGGGGAGCCTCTGAGCCCCTCAGCCGGGAGTCCTAAGTGTCAGACGGGTCTGCCACCAGGTCCCTGGGAAGCTGTCCCACCTGCCCAGCCATGAGTGCCACTTGTACCCAGTTTATTCCACCCTGACAGCCCCTGCCACTCGGCGCGGAGCAAGGGGGCCACGTCCGCTCATCAATCACCAGGAAGGGCCCGGGCGTGCTGCCCCGTTAGCTCCGAGTGCTGCACGCGGCTCACGGTGTGCCTGTGGGTGCTGGCGTCTCCTGGGAGAGCCCATGCCAGGCCTCGGGCTAGGTGTGGGGGCAGAGGTGGAGTATCTTGAAAAGCCAACAGGCCTTTCTCCATCCACCGCTGCCTCTTGGTAAGGGGGGAGCTGGGCCCGGGGAAGGGGCCCAGCCAAGCTCTCGGGGCCGCCTCTTCTCTTCCAGGGCTGTGCCTCATTCAAGCCAAACTGTCTGAGATGGAGGAGGTCAAGCCAGCCAGGTAAAGCAGCGCCAGCCTTGTCCTCAGGGGAGGCGCTACACGGGAGGGAGCCTTCGAGGGGGCCTGAAAGTCACAGGGGTCAGGAGACTTGCCCACTTTGAAAAACGGGACTTTTTAAAAATTCCTTTTAAAAAATGGGTAATGTGTTAGCTAGGACAGTGCAAGCACTCCTGAAGGACTTCAGAGAGAAGAGTGGAATCCCTCCTCCCCCACCCCAGCTCCATGTCCCAGCAGGGTCTGCGCCCTCCCGGACTCTGCATGTGTGCCTGTCTGTGTGCACACAGCTGTGAATATGTGTACACAGACACATGGGATTTGGGGTCTAGTGTGTTTTTCGTTTGTTTTTTAAATATGTTTTTATTGATTTTTAGAGAGAGAGGAAGGGAGAGGGAGAGGGAGATAAGAAACATTGATGGGAGAGGAACATCATGGATCGACTGCCTCATGCAGGCCCCCTACTGGGGATGGAGCCTACAACCCGGGCATGTGCCATGACTAGGAATTGAACTGCAACCTCATGGTTCATAGGTCAACGCCCAGCAGCTGAGCCACGCTGGCCGAGCTGTTTTGTTTATTTTGTTTTAATGAAATGGCTCACACCGTGACCTGCTTTTCCCCAAAACATCTTTCCGTCAGAAGACACACATTCTCATCCTGGTCCTGCCCTTGACCTCCTATGACCAGTCCATCCCATTAGGTCTTGGTCTCCTTACCTGTGGATTAGGGGTCATACACCTGGCAGCGCACACCTTTGTATGAAAAGTCCTTGCGAAGTAGGAAGGGCTCTACCCACAGGAGAAGTGGTTTAGGTCAGTGGTCGCCAATCGGTGGTCCGTGAGGTCTGAAAGGTTGGCGACCGCTGGTGTAGGTGATTATGGTGATGAATGTGTGTGTGTGTATCGAAGTCTGCAGAGTCACGGGTGGGTTGATTGACAGGCCTGCCTCCCCCTCTGCCTACAGCTGGTGGGCGCTGGTCAGTTACGGAGTCCTCTTAGTCACCCTGGGAGCCTTCATCTTCGGCCAGACCACAGCCAACGCCGTCTTCGTGGATCTGTTGGCATAACCACGGCCTCCCTTGCACCCAGGAACCCATCTCAGAGCTGCGGGGCCACGCTGACTCAGGCATCATTCCCCTCTCCTGGTGGGATGATTCCAGGGACGGATCCGGGCTGAAATCGGGCCCCACGGTCTGGAGCCTGCAGCACGGGCATGAGGCCTGACTGGGAATTGAACACACCGGCTCCCTTCCTGCCCCCAGTCCTGGCGGGGCCCTGGCTGGTGGGAGGGGGGCCACAGGAGCCTCCCCGCTGCCTCCAGCTCTCAGCTCCTCCAGTCCTGGAGCCCACGGTGAAGAGGCTCAGCAGGTCTCAGGAGAAGGCAGCAGCATGACTTCCCTCTGGAGAAATAGGGGTGTCCTCTCCACAGAGCAGGGGCCGTGCTCCCTCCCCAGGACTCACACCTGCTCCGTCTGTCCGCGGACCAGCCAGCAGTGGCTTCCTCTGGGCTCCGGCCAGTCCCAAAGGTAGCGCTGAATTCACACGGATGCACAGAGGCAGGTAGAGTCCGTGCCTCGCCCACTCCCTCCTGGGCCCACGGTGAGCCCACAGCCCTCTTTCCCACAGCTGACTGACATTCCCTGAGGCTTCGGGGCCTCACCGAGTGTCTCTCCCCAAACCTCAGGGTCCAGGCGTCCCTCTCCTCCTCCATCCCCAGACGTCACCAAGTCTTATGTTTACAAACGGTGCCCGCCCGGCTCAGCCAGGGACCAGGGGCCGTCCCGTGCCTCGGTGCTGTGAGCACTCCGCCTCCCACTCCGCCTCCATTCGCTTTCCCCGTGGCGGTGGGGAGAGGAGGGGTGCTTCTCTCTCAGATTCCAGATGGACCCCTCTTTTCAGAGGCACAAAAGTGGGTGATGGAGAAGGCTGGGGACCTTCCGGACCTGTGCAGGCTGGGCTGGCCAGGGTCAAGGTGAACCTGCCTGCTACCCTCTCCTCCGATGACTGCTGCTCTCTGCCTCCCCTGCCAGGGTAGCCCAGGGGCACGCAGGGTGCCGAGCTGTCATTGGCTGGGCAGCAGGAGAAGGCAGCTCCGCCAGCCTGGAACTTTCAACCTGGATCCTGTCTGCCCTTCCCCCACCCCATCCCTTCTTCACCCCCCACCCCATTTGTCTATGTAGCTCAATCTCCTGCTCACATAAGTTTTGGGGGGCGGGCTGCCAAACCCTCCCTTGTCAACTTTCTCAGCTCCACCCAGTCACACCGAGGTCACACCTGGATTGTGCCCCAGGCATGGTGAGGGGGGCCCTTCTCCCATTGCACATTCCCATCGGGCTTCCCGTGCCCGGAACGCCCAGCATTTCCCCGGCCCCTCCTGCCCCAAACCTCTGTCCTGGGCCAGGTATGGGGACCCCATCACCACCAGTCAGGGCAGTGAGATCTAGGAATCAGGCTGGCGGGAGGCCCCATAGGCTTCTGCCCAGCCCCCACACTGGGGACCTGCCTCTCCTCACCTCCCGGCCCCTGGGGCCGGAGCCCCTCTGCTGGTTCCTCTCAGCCCAGCCTGTTGCACCTCACCAGGCCCGCCAGCACCCATCCCTGACAAGGCCGGGAGGGTGTCCCAGCCAGCATGGCCGCTCAGCCTCCTGACGCTGGATTTCAGGGGTGGAGTGCGGTAAGGGAGTCATTACACAGCATCCTTCTGGGAAAGGGGCTGGAATCCGGCCTCTCAGCCCAAACTCAGGAGCCCCGACCCTCCCTGCTGGGACATTTTACTGTTTCTTTTCTACTCGGGCACATTCAGACCAGGGAAGGTGGTTAATAAAGAGGAGCTTGTGCTACTGAGCTGCGTGGCCTGTGTCTGGTGCTGGGGACAGAGTCCGGGCCACTGCTGACAGGTGGGGTGGGGAGGGGTGAAGGTGGAGGATGGGGTGAGGCAGGGCCTTCTAGCTTTATTGTCTATAACCCCTGTCTCAGGAATGGGCACCATCCTGTTCTCTTTACCGAGTTGGAAACTACAAGTGTTGTTTTTTTAATCCCAGTCATGTGGTTTTTTTAAAAATATATTTTATTGATTTTTTTACAGAGAGGAAGGGAGAGGGACAGAGAGCTAGAAACATCGATGAGAGAGAAACATCGATCAGCTGCCTCCTGCACACACCCCACCGGGGATGTGCCCGCAACCAAGGTACATGCCCTTGACTGGAATCGAACCCGGGACCCTTCAGTCCGCAGGCCAACGCTCCATCCACTGAGCCAAACTGGTCAGGGCCTAGTCATGTTTTTTTTTTAAAGATGTTTTTATTGCTGAAGCCGGTTTGGCTCGGTGGATAGAGCGTCGGCCTGCGGACTGGAAGGTCCCAGGTTCGATTCCGGTCAAGGGCATGTACCTGGGTTGCGGGCACATCCCCAGTAGGGGATGTGCAGGAGGCAGCTGATCGATGTTTCTCTCTCATCGATGTTTCTAACTCTCTATCTCTCTCCCTTCTTCTCTGTAAAAAATCAATAAAATACATTTTTTTAAAAAACCCCCACTGGGATTGAGCCCACAACCTAGGCATGTGCCCTAAGGATCGAACCGTGGCCTCCTGGTTCATCATTCTCAGTGGGTCTCTACAACTCTATGAAGGAGCGGAAGCTGGGAGATGTTAAATAGCTGGCCCAGGGACACACAGGTAGTAAAACGAGCCAGACAGCCTCTTCCATACGTGGACGAACAAGTGACAGGCGCTCTCAGCGGACCCCAGAAGGCAAGCTCAGGAACCTACAGCCCCCACGTCGGCACCAGCACCACATCTCGGGGAGCCCTGGGGTCACTCTCCCAGCCAGTCCACCTCGATGGTGTGATGCCTGCCGGCAAGTAGCTCTGGGCTAGTCGCGCATCACCTCTCTGGGCTCGTTTCCGGATCTCTAAAGTAGAATGGTAACCACTGACCTTATTACCTCCCGGGGAGAAGGGGAGCCAGTGTAAAGAAAGCACATGACGCCCAGCGGGGTGGGTCAGTGGTTAAGCGTCAACCTATGAACCAGGAGATTACATCAGGGCACATGCCCGGGTTGTGGACTCGGTCCCCAGTGGGGGGGTGCAGAAGGCAGCCAATGGATGATTCTCTCTCATTGATATTTCTGTCTCCTCCCCTCCTCTCTGAAAGCAATAAAAATATTCTTTAAAAAATAAAGCTCATGACAATGACAGAGTGTTTTATAGCCAGAAATCCATGTTTAGAGAAGAAATATGAAAACTTAGTTTCCCCTTGGGAGGACAAGGCGGTGCTTTCTCCATCTTTAACCCGCATACTGAGTTCTTTTTTTTATATATATATTTGATTTTCTAAAACATTTAATTTTAAATGATCATCTTTAATAGTCTCTTTAATAAGCTTGATCTGAAAATTGTGAAGAAAAATGTTGTATGTCCTCCAAAACTACTCTAAAATGCAGCATGCTTTTCTTGAGTTTCTTTTATTATTTATTACACTGAGACATCCAAGATCAGCTTAGCATTTTTTTTTCTTGGTGCTATACAGGTCAGAATCAATAGAGTAGGGCTGCTAAAATCTAGCTGCAACACAAAGTCTTCACATTCATTTTAAATGTCATCTTCAGATTAAAGCAAAGCAGACAGAGAAGCAAGAAAAGTATGATAACATATGAGTTCCTGAAATGCCATTTAGGGGAATTAAAATCCTAAATTTGTCTTACCCAGTACCTTCAAAAACCTAATGCTCTTTAAGCAGCAAGCAATAAAGCCGTATGGGATGGATAGATTTAAGGGCACAATCTTGTTATTGGTATGTCAAAATTATCTAGGAAATTGGCTGACAGTAAAAGAGAGTCTTTCTTTTCCCACAGATGGAGTTTTACAAATATTTGTTTCAAAGGACATCATTGGGCTTCTGCATTCAGTGCGTGCAGACCACGCTGGGGTGATCTTATCCTCAGGGCTCTGTGTGTCCCCTGGCTAGGGAGCATTCCTTGGGATTTTATCTGTTTTCCCGTGGATGATAGGGGAGCCCGTGCGCCCCCTGCACGTCGTAATTGTCGAGGTGCGGGAGCTGGGCCCACTCGGGCGGGTAGGTGGCCGTGATGTACACGAAGCACTGCAGGCGCCTTTCGGCGGCCGGGGGCTCCTCGGAGACGCCCTCCGGCTCGAGCACCGCGACGCTCACCCGCACGCGCTGGTACAGGTCGGGGCAGCCTTCGAACTCATCGAGGAAGCGCAGCATCTGCTCGTCCACAGCGTAGATCTCTCCGAACACGCGGTGGCCGCGCCCCGGCAGGTTCAGCAGCCGCGGAATGTTATGCTGCCCGGCGATCACCAAGGGGTACGGCTCCACCGTGCGGCCCCGGCCCCGGAAGGTGGCGCAGCCGTGGGTGGCGTCCAGCAGGACCTTGTGGTTGGGCTGGCCTCGCTTCAGGGTCCCGTACACGAACACGTCGGCCATCGGGCAGGCCTGGAGGCAGAATGAGCCAGGCCTCCGCCGAATAAGCCGATCTGGGAACTCGGTTAGCC